CCCCCCATCCCCCCTCCCCCCCAAGCCCCTCCCCCCCGCCACCCTTCACTCATCCGCACCCCTCCGCCTTCTTCTCGTTCCGCCTTTTCCATCGCACGCCCTGTCTTTCACCCCTCTCCCTCCTCCTGGTCCCTGGCCAGGGTGTTTCACTGCTCATTCTCTAAAAGTCTCCGCATTTGGTAGTTAATTGCTGTCCTTGGAAACGAGGTAGTAGCGGTCGTTTAGACCAGCGCGAGAGAGAGAGAGCGAAGCGCAGCTTGAAACCCACTCTGCCTTAAACCATGGCCGCCATCGAAGCCACCCCCATGCTCCAGTCTCTCCGCCTCGACGCCGCACTCGCGGTGCCGTCGCGCGCGGCCGTCCCCGCCTCCTCCTTCGTCCGGCCGCAAATTAGCCTCCGGTCGAGCCGCGTCCTTAGCGGGCGGCGAGTGGCGGAGCGGTCCGCCGTAACTGCGCGCGTGCAGGCGGTGGCGGAGCTGTTTCCGTCCGTGGAGGGCGCGGAGGACGCGGGGGGAAGCGGAGGAGGTCGACGCGCCTGCAGTGAAGGCGAAGACGGGGAAGAAGGCGCTTGTGTTCAAGAGGGACCAGGTGCGAGACGGAATCGATCCAGCGTTTAGGGTTTCGTGTAGCTACCCGATGAAATCTAGGGTTAGCCAGATTGCTGTGCCCCTTTAGGGAGGGTCAGAACGGGGAAGAGTTCGCCTGGGTTTCAGAAGATCGTTTGTTCAGAGTGGCACAGGGTTCGTGAGGGATGGGGAGCAAGACGAAGCATATCCACTGTTCGAGTATCGCGCGGCTTAGCAATGATGTTGGTCAGGGTTCCAACCTGACTGTGCAGTGATAGTCGGAATGTGCTGCATTGTGCTGCGCAGGCCAGCAGTTTCCGAGGGCCAGATGCGCGGCAGAGCAAGTTTAGGGTTTCTTTATCGACCGACGACGTTCAGGTTTAGCATGAACGTAGTGTACAATGAGTCCATGGCAGTACCTTTCTCTACCATGCACAGCTCCGGCGCAGCATAAGAAGGACCGCCGCACAGGAGGAACAGGAGCGAGGGTTTCTTGAAACAAATGCAGGCTTTCGCAGCTGACCTTCCCCGAGTCTCTAGTTTCAGGCCCAATGTAGCGCCTCGAGTACGTCTCCAGCCGAACGAAAGGTTGTTCTGAGTAGCGGTCTTTTTGGTCCAGTTTGGGAGGTTAAATCTAAGAAGCTTCTCATTTGGAGCGTCAATGCGTTACTTTCTCCGAACGTGCGTGGAAGTTTCTGTAGCGAGGTAACAGATCGGACTGTTGGTTGGTTCTCTATATAGCCTCCGTGATATCGACGCGAGGAAGGCTAAATTCCTCGCTGTAATTTCTTGACAACTCAAATGAATTTGTCGGAGTGCTTCGGCGCAACGAAGCTGTGAGCCTGGTATGGCTTCAGGAGCAGCCGCGTTATGTGTATTCACGCCCTCGGTCTCTCTCTCCGCGCTCACTTCCTGGTCAACTTCCCATCCAAGTGGTTCCTGGAGGTTCAGAAGCTGCGCGACCGCAACAGCGAGTATGAGGCGGTGCGCTCCGGCCCTTCGGCTCGCGCTGCTCCCGGTTTTAGGATTTCCAACCGTTTTGCCCTTCTTCCCCCTCCCCACCCCAGACCCGATCGAAGCGGTTCCTGGAGATTCAGAAGCTGCGCGGCCGCAACAGCGAGTACGAGCCTAGGTACCACCGTGCGGCGAGACGGAGGCTTGAGTGTATTCCCATCGCACTCTCCTTCTCTCTCTGCTTCACTCACAATCCCCGCGGCAGACCCGGTCGAAGCGCTTCTTGGAGATTCAGAAGCTGCGCGACCGCAACGGCGAGTACGCGCCGGTGGAGGCGCTGGAAATCGTCAAGGCGACGGCTTCCGTCAAGTTTGACGAGTCCGTCGAGGCGCACTTCCGCCTCAGCATCGACCCGAAGTACGCCGACCAGCAGCTGCGCGCCACGGTGCGTAACGAGGGTACATGTAGCGGGGATGTTGTTAGCGGGGATGTTGTCCGAATGAATTAGTCGAAGGAAGGCGCACTGTAGGCGAATCATTGATTGGAAACACGCCGAACAGCAGCTGCTCGCCGCGGTGCCTAATGATGGAATGCTCTTAGCGGGGATATTGTAGTCAGAGATGCGGGAAGAATGGTTTCGGTTCGGGTTCGAAGCTAGAGGACCCTTGAATCTGTCTAGGAGGCTCGCGTTCGGCTCAACAATGGTCCCTGCGCGCCACTGCGGGCAAAAAAGTTGCTGTTAACGGGATGCTGTTAGCGGGGATGCTGTTAGCGGGGATGATAATCTGCAGCTCGTGTAAGCCTCGGGGCGGACGAATCACTCTATAATGACTACTGCTTTCAAAAATACCCTCAATACACGTGGACGAATCACTCTATAATGACTACTGCCCACGCGAAGCGGCTCTGGATGGTGACGGTGTTTCATGTTGCTGCTGCGTATCTCCCTCGCGCCATTTCGTTTTCAACGAGATTCGTGTTATCTTCCCCCTTCCCCCCGGCCCCCCTCCTTCGACTCCCACCACGTATTTCCCCCTTCCCAAGGGAACCAGCCAGGCGCTTCATGTTGCAGGGCTCCTCCCTCTCCTTACCTCGCCTCCGTCCCTTCCGTCTCTTCCTTTCCCTCTCCTCGCCCTTGTCATCCCCCACCACCAGGTGTCTCTGCCCAAGGGAACCGGTCAGGTGGTTCGGGTTGCTGTGCTCACCCAAGGTATGTCTCTGTTTCATCTTTACTTGGATATTTCCGTACCGTTACTTCACTCGTTTTCCTTACCCCGTTTCCCCTGTTGGTTCATTGTCACGGTAACAAGCCTCTGGAATTGAACAACTGCACCTCGTTACACGTTTTTTTTTTTTTTTTTTTTTTTTGTTTTTTTTTCATAAAGTTACTTAAGAAACATCTACAGTTGCTGATGCGCCTCAAGAGATACATCGCTTGAAGGGAGACTTTTGAGTCGACTCAATAGCCAGCTCGAAGGGAGAGTTGCATTTTCTAAATTTCTTACTCTCAGACCCCTCTTCCTTCTCCTCTCAATCCATGTCTCCTCCCCCACCGGGCCACCCCTGGCCCTAATCATCCATAATCTCCCGTCCCCCGTCGCCGCCCCCCCACTGCTGCCCCCCATCCCCGCCCCGATCCCTCACCATATATTCATTCCTAACCCCTGTTCCCCCCCCTCCCTCTCCCCGATTTCCTCCTGTCCTCATTCCCGCCCCTCAATGCCTGTCCCCCCATGCGCGCAGGAGAGAAGCAGAGGGAGGCGACGGAGGCGGGTGCTGACGTGGTGGGCGCGGAGGATCTGATTGAGCGCATTGCGGGCGGCTTCCTCGAGTTTGACAAGCTGGTTGCCACGCCTGACATGATGCCCAAGGTGCGATGCGTTGCTTGCTCCTAGCTGCTGCCGGGTTGTAGCTGGGGCAAGGTTGGATCAGCAGGGCGGACGTGGTTGCGGGCGGCTTTCTCGAGTTTGACAAGCTCGTCGCCACTCCCGACATGATGCCCAAAGTGCGTTGCGCTGCTTGCTCCTCGGTCCGTTCTCTAGACCGTAGACCCCAACCTCTCCGCTGTCATTCTCTTTGCTCTCCCTCACACCATTCTATTCTCCTTCCCCCGCCCTCACCCTCCCACACCCTCACCCCTCATCCGCATCACTCTCTCTTGCAGCCCTTCCCTCACACCCTGCCGGCTCGTCTGGCTGGTCGGCTGGGCCCCCCGAGGCTTCGTGCCCACCCCCCAGGCTCAAGCCCTATGCATGCTTAGAACCTGTCTCACACACTTATCCCCGCTCTACCACTCCCTCTCCCCTACTCCCACTCCCCCCACTCGCTCTCCCCAAATCGCCTTTGCCCACTCCTCCCCGACGCCCTTCTCCTGTACTCTCGGGTCACTCCTGCTGGCAGGTGGCACGTCTGTGGTCCACCTGGCCTCATACCCAACCCCCATGGCCCAAGTATTAGACATGCTTCGGACCTATTTCACACCTGTATTCCCACTCTCCCTTCTCTTCGCTCCCCTCTCCTGTTGCTCTTGTCTCTCGCCCCGCGCAGGTGGCGCGTCTGGGTCGTCTGCTGGGTCCACGTGGCCTCATGGCCAACCCCAAGGCCCAAGCCTACGGCATTTTTCGAGCCTGTCTTACACGCTTGTCCCGTTTCTCCCCTCTGCCCCTACGCCTTCTTCCCTCTCGTTCAGGTGGCGCGTCTGGGTCGTCTGCTGGGTCCACGTGGCCTCATGCCCAACCCCAAGGCCGGCACCGTCACCACCGACCTTGCTTCGGTACGTGCCCCCACGTCCCGCTTGCGTTCTGTTTGGTTTCATGGCGTACTTGTGTGCGTGTGTGGGGGTGGGGGGCGGGGGTCTGGGTGTGTGTGTGTGCGTGCGCGTGTTGCAATTTCACCTTTCCTGCTGTTGCCGTTGATGTCTCGAAAGTGTCCCACCGCAAAAGTGTCGCTCTGACCACATGTTTTCATGCACCTTCCCGCAGCCTCTTTCTCCCAATAGTTGATGACTCAGATGCGTGTACACTGCATGCACCTTCCCACCTACCTGTTTCCCTCACCTGCTTCCCTTACCCTCAGTTCTAACCCCTCCGTTTCTACCCCATAACCTCTGTCCAGTGCTCCCTCTCTCCCTACAGGAATTAGTGAATATATATTTTTAAGCGGGGAAGGCACAGTAGCGTGGCAACATTCCTTCGCTCGCTTGCATCCCGCACGAAACCCTCCACTTTCCCCCCATCCATTTGTCCATGACTCCCAGCAGGGACACCCATTCACTCACATGTGTCTGGCTCTCCCCCCCCTTCCCTCCACCCCCCCCCCCCCCCCCCCCCCCCACCCCCCACACACAATGACCCTAAACCCAAGGTGGCGTAGCGTGCCGACATCCATCCACTCTCTTACGTCCTGCATGGCACCCGTGTGTTCCCCCCTCCCTCTTCTCTCCCACAATGCCCCCCCGGCCTGCTCTCCCCCCCTTGACAGGCGGTGGTGGACTTCAAGGCGGGCAAGGTGGAGTACCGGGCGGACAAGACGGGCATCGTGCACGTGCTCTTCGGCAAGGCCTCCTTCTCCAACGACGACCTCCTCACCAACCTCGTTGCCGTCGCTGTAAGTGTATTAATAAAATATTGTGTAGTGTATTTATATTCATGTGATGTATGGTGTGTGGCAATGGTTGTCTGTTGGTGTCGTGACTGATATTTTGCTTGCGTGTTTGTGCGATGTGTTGTTGAATTACAGAACTCTGTGGATGCGAATCGCCCACCAGGCGCCAAGGGAGTGTACTGGAAGACAGCATACATCTGCGCTACAATGGGCCCGTCTGTTCGTGTAAATGTGTCTGCCTTGAGGGACTTCAAGCTGCCCACTGCCTCATCGTAAGGGAATGTGTCAAATTTTCGCCTTATCCACACTTATAAAATGCAGTGCCAAATGAATGAGATTTTTATAAGATGATTCTGTGCCAAATTCTCTAGGTTTCATATTAGTGCTTTCGTAAATGACCAGTCATATTAACCAATCACAAAAGCTGGCGCGCTGTACCTACACCTTATTCGTTCTTCTCCCGAGTTCACCAATCACAAAATCCACAGTGGCTGAGTCAGCCCGATTTCAGAAGCCAATAAGGAAGCTCAAGGCATCGCTGTCTCGTTCGCTCTCTGCGGCCCTCGCTTCGTTTCGGCCTGGTTCGGTAAGTCGCGCTGCGGTTTGGGTAACTTCTCATCTCAGTTTCAAGCTGGGGCAGGTGTGTACTATGGTCTTTCAGGATATTCGCTGCCCGTCAAAGTGTCGGTCATCGGTTTTCCTTGTGACTTGTGAGGTGAGTGTTCGTGGGCAGAAATTTGATTGGGGCAAAGCCAATGGCGAAGCACAAAAGTGTGTGTCAGGCTCGGGATTTCGGGGGAAAAGGCCCGGTCTGCACAAACGAGCGGGTTAGGTTAGGGAAAGCGCGACATTTGTGGGATGTGATTGATGGGGGGAGGTTGGGCTGTTTCTCGCTGCAGTTGTGTGTGCCGTGCCACGAAACTGTTCGTATTTTCGCGTGGAGCTACTGTCACCGAGAGCTACCGCACACAACCCACCTCGGGATTGCTGTTGGAGGTGATCAATTATGCTTCCACCGTTACTGCTGTTGATGTTTTATTTTGCAGACGCATACGAGTAGGAGACGCGAAGTAGCCGTGCCGCGTTAGCTTCTGTTGTTATGAGCTTGCGGATCTAAGTCGTTCAAGTTTCGGGTGCTACTGTTAGTATCTCCGTGAGTTTGACCTCTTCGTTCAACATTAATCCACGAACAGAGACCTTCGGCCACCTACCCATTCCTCGTTGTCCGTTCCGTGCCATCGGCATCCAGCTTTCTGGCATTCGATGCCAAGTAGCGTCAGTGTTTTGCTAGTTTCTTGCCGGATAGGTTGACTCGCGAAGTTCGTAACCTCTGCACTTGACCCTGCGTCACCGTCGTTAGCAGGATCGGATTGGATTGGTATGATAGGTTAGTCCACGCAATTCCTCCGCAGTTCCTCCGCTTAGATCGTCCCTCAGTGCGTTGCCGGCTTGAAACCCTCGCTTCGTCTCCCCGGCAGCGGCTCGTTCATGGCACCTACCTCCAAGCCTCGTCTCTATTGTCCTTGAGTTTTGATTTCGAGCAGCCGCCGCTCGAGCCCATTCACCATGGTAAGCTGCTGTGTGTTCTGTCTTCTTTCACGTTATTGTGCCGTCAAGGTTGCGCTGTCAAGTTATTGGCTCGTCAAGTCCTTGTGCTATCAGTTTCTGTTGTCAAATCGTGCTCGAAAGAACGAATTTGCTGATAAGAACAACCTCTTGCTCTTTCGGTGCACGCACGAACTCGAATATGAACACGCAGTCGCCAAACCATGGTCGCAATTCTACTGCGTGCCTGGATTTCGCATGGCTCTGTCGCATGCACTAAGCTCTTCGCATCCTTTGCCAACGTGTCGTGGGTTGTTTGGGATCCTATATTGCACGTTGACTCCTCCTCTTGCGCGACGTCGCACGCCATCGCGTAGCGTCGCATGCTCTTTATTCTTCCTCTGTACTTTTAAGATTTCGCAGAGACGAACTTTGCGTCCATTTTACAAGTCTTGGAAAAAGTACAAACCTCGCAGTTCTTCGTCATGTCCCTAAACACTTCCAAGAGTCAATTTCGCGGACTCCTCGTTTCTCGCGGTTACCCTTTCTCGCGAAAACTCCCTTTCGCACTCCCCTTTCGCCACCGCACCCCTTCCTTAGCCTGTGTGTCCTGCGGATCTACATTCGGGGAGTTTCAAGCAGCGCAGTGCGCTCACGGCAGGCGGCAGGATTTGAGAGGCGAATGAATGGAGCCTGTTCGTCTTTCCTGACGCCAAAATGCCTTACCTTCCCTGTCCCCGCATTTCCCCCTCTCCCTTTCCCCATCCCCTTCCCGCTTCCCCCTCTCCCTTCCCCCTTTCCCACCCCCTCCATGCCCTTTCTCTCGTGATAAGACCTTTCTGGGGCGCCTACGGCCCCCGTCCCCTCCCCTTTCCCCCCCCCTCACTGTTCCTATGCTTTCAAGCAGCGCAGCTTGTTCAAAGCGGGTTGCTGAATCTGGGCCGGATGAATGAGAGGGCTTGTGGGGAGTAACGTGGGGATGCGTCCCTTCTTGTCCCTCAATTCCCCCCATCACTCTTCTCTTAGAATCTTCACACTTTCCTCCCTCAGTCCCTCCTCCCCTCCCTCCCACCTCCCCCCCCCCCCCCCCCCCCCCCCCCCCCCCCCCCCCCGCCCCCCCTTCCTCCCCTCCTTCCCCCCTTATTATTTCTCCCTTCAAAGTTTCGCCCAAATTCTTTCCCCCTCGCTCTGCCCCTTTTACAATCCCCCTTTCGTTCTTCCCCCCTCATTTTCCTCCTCACACCCCCTCGCTCTATCCCCCTCACTCTTCCTCCGTCTCTCTCTCCCCCTCGCTCGCCCTCGCCCTCGCCACCACCCACTGCCAACGTGCTCACAGTGGGCAGCAGCGATGGGAGGGGCTTGCTGGCATGCTGCTGGCAACCCACCCCACCCCACCCCATCCCACCCCACCCCACTCCACCCCATCCCATCCGATCGCATCCCACCCTACCCCATCTGCAGGGCTCGGAGCAGCGCAGTGTGTTCACGGTGGGCAGCAGCGTGTGGGTGCCAAATGAGTGAGGCTTGCTGACACGGTGGCACCCCGCCCCACCCCACCCCACCCCATCTGCAGGGCTCGGAGCAGCGCAGTGTGTTCACGGTGGGCAGCAGCGTGTGGGTGCCGGACGAGGAGGATGCATGGGCGGAGGGCGATGTGGTGGGCGTCAAGGATGGCGCAGGGGCAGGGGCTGCGGGCGGGCAGGTGGTGGTGCGCACTATAGGGAAGAAGAAACGCGAGGTGAGTCAGACTGGTGCTGCTGGTGTTGTGTCTGACGCTGGTGGGGTGATGTGAGAAGAAGTAGAAGAAAAAGAGGAAGCGAGGAGGTGGGTCTGGGCCCATTTTTCTGAGGCGCCTATGTGATCACGGGGTGTTGGATGAGGAGGATGCATGGGCGGAGGGCGACGTGGTGGGCGTCAAGGATGGCGCGGGGGCAGGGGCTGCGGGCGGGCAGGTGGTGGTGCGCACTATAGGGAAGAAGAAGCGCGAGGTGAGAGATGGGCGGGTGTGGTGGTGATGGGTATGAAGTGGTGCTGACTGTAGGGGCTGACTGGTGGGGCTGCAGGCGGGCAGGTGGTGGTGCGCACTACAGGGAAGAAGCACGAGGTGAGTCTGGGGATGTGTGTGTGTGGTGGTGATGGGTAGGAAGTGGTGCTGCTGGTGGTGCTGTCTGGTGGGGCTGGGGGCGGGAAGGTGGTGGTGCGGACTACAGGGAAGAAGAAACGCGAGGTGAGTCTCGTGGTGGGTGTGTGGTGCTGTTGGTGATGCGTGTGTGTGGTGTGGTGGTGGTGGCAGGTGGTGCTGGTAATTTCAGCGAAGTTATAGGAGCTCAAAGAAATAAATAGATATATAGGTACGGAGGGGCGTGCAGGTGGTGACCAGAGTCAGGATAGGGAGGAATATGACAGCGTTAGTGACAATGATAGAGAGGCGTGCGGGGGGTGGGAATGGTGATGGGTGGTGGTGGTGGTGGTGGTGGTGATACGAGAATGGCGGAATCATGGACGATATGGTCAAGATGGCGAATCTGCACGAGCCGAGGGTGCCTTTTGAGTCCACTCAAAACCCTCCTCTCCCTTCCCCTCTCATCTTCTCAGGTGACGGTAGCAGCGGGTGCGTGTTACGCACGGGAGGAGGATGGGGGAATCATGGACGACATGGTCAAGATGGCCTACCTGCACGAGCCAGGGGTGCTCTGCAACCTCATGCTGCGCTACCAGCGCAACCTTATTTATGTAAGTGCTGGTGCTTTCTTTTGAAGCTTATTCTGTTGTGTGACAAGCTCAAGCTTGTTATTGTAAGTGTTGGATGGAGCTTTTGAGCTTATGCAGAAGGTAAAGCAGCTGGCACACTGGGTAAAGCGAGTAAGAGGGGGATTATCTTTTAACCTGATCCCCTAAACCCAAAACTCAAAACCCAGAATCTGAAACACTGAACACATGACACGTGATCGTGAGCATGAAACCCTGATAATCACAATCACGGGACTCCATAACCTCACTTCTCCCTTCCCCCCTCTCCCTTCCCTGCCCCTCCCATTTGCTCCCGCCTCCCATTACTACTCCTCCACCAGACGTACACAGGCAGCATTCTCATTGCGGCCAACCCCTTCATGCGCATCCCAGGCGTTGACGACCGGGAGATCTGAATGAATGCTAACCACAATTCTTTGAAGGACCCCCTCTCCCTGCCCCCTATCTCTCCCCTCCCTCCACCTTCTGTTGCTCCTTGCCCTCCTGCCAGACGTACACGGGCAGCATTTTGATTGCAGCAAACCCCTTCATGCGCATCCCAGGCATCTACGACCGGGAGATGAGGGAGGCGTACAGAGGGGCTCAGATCGGTGACCTCAGCCCACACGTGTTTGCCATTGCTGATAATGCGTACAGGTGAGCAGCATAGGGGGGGGATAGAGCGTACAGGTGAGGTGTAGGGAGGGAAGTGCAGGTGAGGAGATGAGATGGGACAAATAGCGCTGATGCATTAGAAGTTGGCTTCAGCCATTCTTATTGCCACAGCATATGTTCGCCATTGCTGATAACTCGTTCAGGTGAGGGCGTCAGGTGCCCAACAGGTGAGGGCGTCGATGTTGATAAGTCCGCCTCGTAACTACTTTCCTGAGTAGCTAACTTTCTGAGTAGCGAACATTTTGAGTAGCTAACTCGTGTTTTGCCAATCCATGTCCATCTGTGCAGAGCCATGGTGGACGATAAGCGCAGCCAGTCGATTCTGATTAGCGGAGAGAGTGGGGCGGGCAAGACAGAGACGACAAAGCTGGTGATGGAGTATCTGGCATCGGTGGGGGGACGGTCCGAGGCGACTGAGGGGCGCAGCATTGAAAGCCAAGTGCTGGAGGTGGGTCGAGTGGTCAAGCTCAGAACAGGGGGTGATGCTAATGAGGTGCAAAGTGCAACGGGCAAGGGGGCAAGACAGAGACGAGAAAGTTGGTGATGAAGTATCTGGCGTCCGCGGGTGGGCGGTCTGAGGCCACTGAGGGGCGCAGCATTGAAAGCCAAGTGCTGGAGGTGGGTCGAGTGGTCAAGCTCAGAACAGGGGGTGATGCTAATGAGGTGCAAAGTGCAACGGGCAAGGGGGCAAGACAGAGACGACAAAGCTGGTGATGGAGTATCTGGCGTCCGCGGGTGGGCGGTCTGAGGCCACTGAGGGGCGCAGCATTGAAAGCCAAGTGCTGGAGGTGAGTTGAGAGGTCGAGCTCAGAATGGGAGAGAGAAAGGGGGGGGAGTTGAGGGGGAAAAGGGAGGACAGGCTGTGGAATAGAGGTGGTTGGGGGGGTAAGAAAGGGAAGATGCCATGGGGTAAAGGGCAAGGTGCAAGACAGAGACAACAAAGCTGGTGATGGAGTACCTGGCATCGGTGGGGGGACGGTCTGAGGCCACTGAGGGGCGCAGCATTGAGAGCCAAGTGCTGGAGGTGAGGAAGAAGAAAGGAGGCAGGTGCTGGAATGGGGGTGTAGTAGGGTAAGAAAGGGGTGATGCAACGGGGTGCCGAGCAGCGGGCAAGACGGAGGCAACGAAGCTGGTGATGGAGTACCTGGCGTCTGTGGGGGGCCGGTCTGAGGCGACCGATGGGCGCAGCATTGAAAGCCAAGTGCTGGAGGTGAGTCGAGTGGTGAAGGTCAGAAAGGGGTGGTGCCGAATGGGTGTAAGGGGCAGGGGCAAGACGGAGGCAACGAAGCTGGTGATGGAGTACCTGGCTTCGGTGGGGGGGCGGTCTGAGGCCACTGAGGGGCGCAGCATTGAAAGGCAAGTGCTGGAGGTGAGAGGGGGAGGTGAGAAGGGAGGGGGGTGAGGGAAGTGCGAGGGAAAGATCGAGGGGGGTGAGGGAAGTGCGAGGGAAAGATGGAGGTGAACGGATGGGAAGGCGCAGCCGATTTTCGTCCCACTTTTCTTCCCCCTCCCTTGCCTACCTACTAGCCCACCAGTCGAACCCACTACTAAAGGCCTTCGGCAAGCCAAAACCCCTTCCCCCTTCCCCCTTCCCCCTTCCCCCTTCCCCTTCTCCCACACACTCCTCTCCCCTCCCATCCAAACCCGTCCCTTACGCTCCCATTCCCCTCCCTCCCAACCAACCCACCAGTCAAACCCATTGTTAGAGGCCTTTGGAAACGCCAAGACAGTGCGCAACGGCAACTCGAGTCGCTTTGGCAAGTTCATCGAAATCCAGTTCGACCAGCGGGTCCCTCCTTTCCTCTCCCTCCCACCCCTCTCTCTTGCCAAAATCATCCTCCCCTTCCTCTCCATTCCCCTTCTCTCTCCCCATCCCACGCACCCCCTTCCCCTCCCCTTCTCTTCAAACCCCTCCTCTCTCATCCCCTCCCATCCCTCTTCCTTGTTACCTACCAGTCCAACCCATTGTTGGAAGCCTTTGGCAATGCCAAGACGGTGCGCAACGACAACTCGAGTCGCTTTGGCAAGTTCATCGAGATCCAGTTCGACCAGCGTGGGCCTACTCTCCTCTCCTCTCCCCCCCCCCTTCTTGCCAAACCTCCTCCTCCCCCCATCCCTCCTTCCTCTTCTCACCATCCCACACACTCCTCTCCTCTGTCCGCCCCCCTCCCATCCCATCCCCTCCCATCCCCGTCCCTTATCACCCACCAGTCAAACCCATTGCTAGAAGCCTTTGGCAACGCCAAGACAGTGCGCAATGACAACTCGAGTCGCTTCGGCAAGTTCATCGAGATCCAGTTCGACCAGCGCGGCCGCGTGTCTGGTGCTGCCATCCGCTCCTACCTTCTAGAGCGGTCCAGAGTGGTGCAGATAGCAGACCCCGAGCGCAACTACCACTGCTTCTACCAGCTCTGTGCGGGTGCATCCACTGAGGTGTGTGTGTACTCTCACAGGGGTGTGCCTGCCTGATTTCAGACCAGACTCTGGTCTTCAGGCCCTGACCTTTGAGGCGCCTCAAACAAATATGGTCTTCAGGCCCTGAGGGTGTAGTTACTCGGGTTGGGCTGACCCTCACAGCAACTACCACTGCTTCTACCAGCTCTGCGCTGGTGCATCCACTGAGGTGTGTGCGTGCATGTGCATGTGCATGTGTGTGTGTGTGTGGGGGGGGGGATATTGCAAATTGACTGCAGACCCTCGCTGGCTAGGGTTTTTGAGTCGACTGAATAGTTTTCCACCTTCTCTTGTACCAGTAGGAAGAGATATACCGGCTTCCAACAGGGCCAAACAGAGCATAGAAGTTTCACTACCTGAAGCAGACCACGTGCATCGAGCTGGAGTGGAAGCGGAGCAAGTAGTGTGATGTGGATCAAGCACGCGCCTTCCATGCCCTGTTCACGTCTCTTTCGTTCTTTCTTCCCCCCACTCCCCCCCCTTTGCCTTTCCAGGAGGCAGAGAAATACCGGCTGCCACCAGGGCCGAACAGGGCGGAAAAGTTTCACTACCTGAAGCAGAGCAAGTGCATTGAGCTGGAGGGGAAGCGCAGCAACGCAGAGGAATATGTGATAACGCGGAATGCCATGGACGTTATTGGGATCTCCCAGGACGAACAGGTGAGGGTGGGCGGTGGAATATGTTAGCAGTCCAAACATAGAGGGCCACCCATGGAATTAGGGTAGGTTTTCAGGTCGGTTGGGGATGGATAGGAGGAGGAGTATGTGATTGTACGCAGGGCGAGCAGGCGACTGGGCGAGGAGTATGTGATTGTACGGTAGCTTTGGATGCCATGGACTTGACTGGGCTGGGCTGGGATGTCGCAGGGCGAGCAGGCGAGGGGAAGATATTGGAGGCAACCGGACAGGGGGAACAGGGTGAACAGTTTTGCTGGTGCAATGCGATTTCCTTGCGTTTGGTCATACCATGCGTCCTCAACCACTCGGCAGACACCCATCTGCACTGCACGTGCGTGTGCAAGCAGGCGTCGAAATTCAGCATAGTGGTGGCGGTTCTGCATCTGTGGAACGTGGAGTTCAAGTAGAAGGGCGACAAGATGAGAGCTGCCAAGGTTTTCCCCTTTCCAGACATGCTACAACCTGGCCACCTCAACCCCCCACCCATCCCCCCCGAGCAGGCATCGATATTCGGCATAGTGGCGGCAATTCTGCATCTGGGGAACGTGGAGTTCAAGGAGAAGGGCGACAGGATGCGCATCGCCAAAATTACTCCTATCCAAACATGCCATTTCCCTCCCCCCTCACACACACCCCCCACTCGCCCTCTCTCTCTCCCCCCTTCCTCTCCCCCTCCTCTCCAACTCCCTTCTTTCTTAAACCCTCCACCTGTCCCGGTGCATGCATGCAGGCATCGATATTCGGCATAGTGGCAGCAATTCTGCATCTGGGAAACGTGGAGTTCAAGGAGAAGGGCGACAAGATGCGGATTGCCAAGCACTCGGAAGAGAACCTCGAGAACGTCGCCCACCTGCTCTCGTAAGCACCCTGTCTGCTGATGCCAGCTCACTTCTTGTCAGTACCTGCCCTGTGGACTTCTTTTGACTTCTGCTGTGGTCAAGCACTCGGAAGAGAACCTCGAGAACGTCGCCCACCTGCTCTCGTAAGCACCCTGTCTGCTGATGCCAGCTCACTTCTTGTCAGTACCTGCCCTGTGGACTTGTGTTGACTTCTGCTGTGGTCAAGCACTCGGAAGAGAACCTCGAGAACGTCGCCCACCTGCTCTCGTAAGCACCCTGGTCTCGAAAAACGTCCTAGGACGTGCCGTGTCCGTTATTCTCCCCTGTTTTTGAGCTGTCAGCGCATCCCTGCTCATTGCTAACTGTTGCTGTTGTTGCAGCCGCCGCCTCTGCCAACTGCTGCAGCTGATGCTGCTCCTGGAGGCTGGAGCTTCTTCCTGTCACCTCCTTTTCCCCGCTTATCTCAGGAGTCGCTGTACACAGTGAAGCGCAAGGTGGAATGGACGGCAGTGAGATGGTTCGATAAAACTGTGCTCTTTCTCATGCCACACACCCGCTACTGTTCCCGACATCCCTCTCCCCATGCCGACCTCGCTCTCCCCATGCCGACCTCGCTCTCCCCATCCCGACCTCTTCCCCAACCCCCCCCAGGTGCGACAAGAAGAAGCTTCAGGAGTCGCTATGCACGATGAAGCGCAAGGTGGGCGGCGAGGTGATGCTCTGATTACACCGTGCTGTTTCGCATGCAACACAACGCCTCTTCTCCCCCACATCACATCCCTGTCCCAACTCCCCCCCAGGTGTGACAAGAAGAAGCTGCAGGAGTCGCTGTGCACGATGAAGCGCAAGGTGGGAGGCGAGGTGATCAAGAGCTATTTGGACGAGAAGGGCGCGGTTGTGCGCCGAGACACGCTCGCTAAGACACTCTACTCCAAGCTCTTTGACTGGTGGGTGGTTGGTTGACTGGTGGGTGGTTGGTTGGTTGACTGGTGGGTGGTTGGTTGGTTGCATAGATGGTGGGTGGGTGGGTGGGCAGTGGTGGTGGGAGGCGAGGTGATCAAAAGCTATTTGGATGAGAAGGACGCTGTCACACTCTCTAAGACACTCTACTCCAAGCTCTTTGACTGGTGTGTGGGTGACTGGTTGATTGAAGGGGTTGGACTGGTGGTTGTTGTTACGAGCAAAGTGGATGGGAATGAAAAGGTTGCGGTGGTTGGAAGGGATTTGCGGTGGTTGCTACTCTTAGCCAAGCTCCACCACCGGCATGGCATTGGAAGGCTCAAGGTGATGATGCCTCATGCGTGAGGTGGTGTGTGAGTCGAATCGAAAGGACGTGCCATGCCATTGGCCAGGATGCCACGAATCCAATGCTCTCTCGCTCTCCCTCTCGCTTTCCCCCACCCACCCCCCCTACCAGGATAGTGGAGAAGGTGAATCGGTCCATTAGGCAGGGCGCCAATGTTCTCTCTTCCTCACACTCCCACAACACCCCCTTTTCTCCTAACCCTTACACACCCCTCCCCCTCCAATCGCAGGATAGTGGAGAAGGTGACTCGGTCCACTGGGCAGGACGCCAACTCCATGGCGCTCACACACACACATGCACCCCCCCCCCCCCCCCGCCACCTCTATCAGGATAGTGGAGAAGGTGAATCGGTCCATTGGGCAGGACGCCAATTCCATGGCTCTCATTGGCGTGCTTGATATTTACGGCTTCGAGCACTTCAAACTCAACAGGTGTACCTCGAAATTCCCTCACATTCTGTTAAGACTTCGTGGCGTTGGATGACATTTGCAGCAGGTGTCATGCATCGTTTTGTGCATCCATTCTGGTAGAACCAACCAGGGGACATTTGCACTCCTGTCAAGTCAAGCATGTGAATCACTCATGGCAAGCATAATCCGTTGCACTCTTGGGCATCATCTGTTGGTTCTCTCTATCGTTAATTTTCTGGGTAAATTCCTATCTTTATCTGCTGCTGAGGGCTTCACACACACGTGTAACTGTGGAGCATCAGCGTTCTAGTCTGTCTCCACATCATTGCACATCGACTTGTTTGATTGTAGCAGTTCAGGTAGTGACATGATTCAGGCACTCACCGATCTACTGTGATGCCACGTCAGGAGCGTCTCACAGCTTGTATATCTCCCTGCTGACACCCCCCAATCCTCACCTCACCCCCACAATCCCCACCAGCTTTGAGCAGTTCTGCATCAATCTGGCCAATGAGAAGCTCCAACAGCATTTTAACCAGGTAATGCTAACAGTTACCCGGTGCAACGTAGAATATCTTTGTGAGTCTCCCCTGATCTGAACTCCACCTACCTACACCCTTCCTGTGAAACACCCATTACATACAAAAGAGCCCTGAAGAGACTCACACATCACACCACATAATTCTACTACTCTATGTTGCTCCAAATGCCTACCAGCTCCAGCCTTTCCCTTTCGTCTTTCACCCCTCTCCTCTCTGCTGCTCTCTCCCCCCCTACTCACACCACTCCACGCTCACACACCCCCACCAACCAACCACCACCAGCACGTGCTGAAGCTGGAGCAGGAGGAGTACGAACGGGAGGAGATCAACTGGAGCCAGGCTTCCCCTTGCTTCTCCTTTCACCCCTCCCCTCGTCTCTCCACTGCTCTCCTCCCCTACTCACACCACTCCACGCTCACACCCCCCCACCAACCACCACCAGCACGTGTTGAAGCTGGAGCAGGAGGAGTATGAGAGGGAGGAGATCAACTGGAGCTACATCAACTTCAGAGACAACCAGGACGTGCTCGACCTTGTGGAAGGGGTGAGTGATGGGTTGGGTTGGTTGAGGTGATCGGTGGGGTGGGGCGCGGTGGGGTGGGGTGGAAGGGGTGAGCTGATGATGGGGGCTAGAGGGAAGGGGTGAGTGAGCTGATGAGGAGATCAACTTCCGCGACAACCAGGACGTGCTGGACCTCGTTGAAGGGGTGAGTGGGGTAGAGGTAGCTGTTGGGTGGGGCTGGTGGGTTTTGAGGCGCCAAAACAATCGTTGCAACACACTTGGGGATCAACTGGAGCTACACCATTCTCCGCGACAACCAAGACGTGCTGGACCTCGTTGAAGGGGTGAGCTGATGGGCGAGGGACGAGTGGGAAGGGGTGAGTGAGGGCATGGGTGGGGTGAGAGGGATGAGCAGATGAGGTCCAATGGAGTGGAGGGAGGGGTGGGTGAGGTGTTAGAGGAGATCAACTGGAGCTACATCAACTTTCGGGACAACCGGGACGTGCTGGATTTAGTGGAAGGGGTGAGCTGAAGGGTGGGTGTGGCTAGTGCCAGTGGGACTAGTGGTTGAGTGAGATGCAGGCAGTGGAAAGGCGTGAGCTGAAGGGTGGCTGTGGCTAGTGCCAGTGGGACTAGTGGTTGAGTGAGATGCAGGCAGTGGAAAGGCGTGAGCTGAAGGGTGGGTGTGGCTAGTGCCAGTGGGACTAGTGGTTGAGTGAGATGCAGGCAGTGGAAAGGCGTGAGCTGAAGGGTGGGTGTGGCTAGTGCCAGTGGGACTAGTGGTTGAGTGAGATGCAGGCAGTGGAAAGGCGTGAGCTGAAGGGTGGGTGTGGCTAGTGCCAGTGGGACTAGTGGTTGAGTGAGATGCAGGCAGTGGAAAGGCGTGAGCTGAAGGGTGGGTGTGGCTAGTGCCAGTGGGACTAGTGGTTGAGTGAGATGCAGGCAGTGGAAAGGCGTGAGCTGAAGGGTGGGTGTGGCTAGTGCCAGTGGGACTAGTGGTTGAGTGAGATGCAGGCAGTGGAAAGGCGTGAGCTGAAGGGTGGGTGTGGCTAGTGCCAGTGGGACTAGTGGTTGAGTGAGATGCAGGCAGTGGAAAGGCGTGAGCTGAAGGGTGGGTGTGGCTAGTGCCAGTGGGACTAGTGGTTGAGTGCGATGCAGGCAGTGGAAAGGCGTGAGCTGAAGGGTGGGTGTGGCTAGTGCCAGTGGGACTAGTGGTTGAGTGAGATGCAGGCAGTGGAAAGGCGTGAGCTGAAGGGTGGGTGTGGCTAGTGCCAGTGGGACTAGTGGTTGAGTGAGATGCAGGCAGTGGAAAGGCGTGAGCTGAAGGGTGGGTGTGGCTAGTGCCAGTGGGACTAGTGGTTGAGTGAGATGCAGGCAGTGGAAAGGCGTGAGCTGAAGGGTGGGTGTGGCTAGTGCCAGTGGGACTAGTGGTTGAGTGAGATGCAGGCAGTGGAAAGGCGTGAGCTGAAGGGTGGGTGTGGCTAGTGCCAGTGGGACTAGTGGTTGAGTGAGATGCAGGCAGTGGAAAGGCGTGAGCTGAAGGGTGGGTGTGGCTAGTGCCAGTGGGACTAGTGGTTGAGTGAGATGCAGGCAGTGGAAAGGCGTGAGCTGAAGGGTGGGTGTGGCTAGTGCCAGTGGGACTAGTGGTTGAGTGAGATGCAGGCAGTGGAAAGGCGTGAGCTGATGCGGCTGGTGCTATATAGAGTGAGTTGCTGCATCTTCTATTCGCCATCGCGTGTTCCTCAAAGCTGCTCTGAACCATCTACTTCCATACTCAGGCATCTTTGACAACACCCAAACAGGCTTGACAACATGCATATGTCTCGCACCATTGCTCCCACAGGGCTGTGGGTGGGTGCATGTGCGTGGACAGTAGCTCTTATTGTCCTCTCTCGCTTTGAGACGTCACAATGATTGTCCTCTCTCGTCCCCTTGTGCTGCTTCTTTCTGCTGCTGCAGGACAAGGGCATTCTCACACTGCTCGATTCAGCTTGGTACGTCCCATCTCCCTGCCTTTCCAGCCCTCACCGTTTCCATATACCCGTGTTCTTCAGTGCCCCCCCCCCCCCCTTTTTTTTTTGGGGGGGAGTCGACCCTAAGTTTTCCTCAAAAGCAGAGTCTATGCCTTTCCTGCCCTCACCATGTCTCTGTCTGTCTTTCATACACCTATGCTTTCCTCACACACGAGCAAACCAGCGCAAGAGCACTGGCACTCTTTCCCTCCTTCCCTTTCTCTCCCAACCCCCAGCAAGCTAGCCCAGTCCACACCCGAGTCCTTCACCATGTCTCTCTACGACGCCTTTCTGAAGCACGAGCGATTCACCAAGTCCAAGGGCTCTGTCACGGATTTCACACTGGAGCACTACGCAGGGCGAGTCAAGTACAGCACGGTGGACTTCATCAGCAAGAACCTCGACGCCGTGGTATCAGAGCACGAGGCGCTGCTGCAGAAGTCCACCGATCCCTTTGTGGCCGCGCTCTTCCCCGCGGTTCAAGAGGAGGTGAAGGAGGGGGGCGGGAAGGGCGGCAAGGCCACCACCAAATTCGCTTCTCTTGGGAAGTCGTTCAAAGTGAGTAGTACAGAACCTAATAACAGTTTTTCATTTGAAGTAAGGGAGAGCGTGTGACTGTTTAAAGGGTCAGGCACCTAGGTCAAGGTAAAAAAAAATATTTTCTTGGGGCCTTCTACATGTGTGTGTGTGTGTGTGTGTGTGTGTGTGTGTGTGTGTGTGTGTGTGTGTGTGTGTGTGTGTGTGTGTGCGTGTTGTTTTTCTTATTTCTTTTATTTTCTTTCTTTTCTTTTCCCTCTATTACACTTTTTTTTCTGTTACTTTGCAGCTACAACTGGCACAGCTGATGGAGACGCTGAACCGCACAGAACCGCACTACATCCGGTGTATTAAGCCCAACTCCAAGAGCCGACCAGCGCTGTTTGAGAAGAGCATGGTGGTGGAGCAGCTGCGATCGGGGGTGAGTGCGATGGGGGGATGGGAAAGGGGTTAGAGGTGTCAGGGGTTAGAGGTGTCAGGGTTGATTGAGGGAGATGAGGGATAGGTACAGCGGTCGTGCTGTTTGAGAAGAGCGTGGTGGTGGAGCAGCTGCGATCGGGGGTGAGTGCGATGGGGGGATGGGAAAGGGGTTAGAGGTGTCAGGGGTTAGAGGTGTCAGGGTTGATTGAGGGAGATGAGGGATAGGTACAGCGGTCGTGCTGTTTGAGAAGAGCGTGGTGGTGGAGCAGCTGCGATCGGGGGTGAGTGCGATGGGGGGATGGGAAAGGGGTTAGAGGTGTCAGGGGTTAGAGGTGTGAGGGTTGATTGAGGGAGATGAGGGATAGGTACAGCGGTCGTGCTGTTTGAGAAGAGCGTGGTGGTGGAGCAGCTGCGATCGGGGGTGAGTGCGATGGGGGGATGGGAAAGGGGTTAGAGGTGTCAGGGGTTAGAGGTGTCAGGGTTGATTGAGGGAGATGAGGGATAGGTACAGCGGTCGTGCTGTTTGAGAAGAGCGTGGTGGTGGAGCAGCTGCGATCGGGGGTGAGTGCGATGGGGGGATGGGAAAGGGGTTAGAGGTGTCAGGGGTTAGAGGTGTGAGGGTTGATTGAGGGAGATGAGGGATAGGTACAGCGGTCGTGCTGTTTGAGAAGAGCGTGGTGGTGGAGCAGCTGCGATCGGGGGTGAGTGCAATGGGGATAAGGAGGAAGGGGTTTGGAGGTGAGTGCGGGAGATGAGGAATGAGGCGAACGGATGGGGAACGAGTGAGGAAGGGTGGGTAATGTAGGCGGGAGTGAGGGGTCGTGTCATGCTGTTTCAGAAGAGCATCGTGGTGGAAATCACTTCTGAGAATTCTAAAAAATACCCATCGTGGAGCAACTGCGGTCGGGAGTGGGTGGGGGAGGCGAGGGGTGAGGGGTTGGGTGAGTTGGGCGGGAGTGATGGGTCGGGCGGAATGTGCTGTTCCAGGAAACATGATCGGGCTGGGGTGCTGTGACAGCTGCAGTTGGGGATGAGTGGGGCCGATGAGGGATGGAGGGTTTGGGGAGGAAGTTATCAGAACCGCTGTTTATGGATAAGCTTTGATACTGCTCCAGTGTTCATGCACTGGAGCATTGCACACTTGCTCTACGCCCCCCCACGGTCCCACCCACATCACCCTCTTGCAAACCTCCCCCCACCCCACCCCCCTTCGCCTCCCCTGTGTTGCAGGGAGTGTTGGAGGCCATTCGCATGTGCTCGGCGGGCTACCCCACTCGCCGCCTCTTTGACGACTTTATCGACAGATTCTCGCTGCTCGTGCCCACCCTCTTTGACAAGGAGTGAGTCCCTCCCTTGCTCCCATTCGTCTCCACCTGGAGCTTCCCCGAGAAGCAACGTAGAAATTTCACCAGCCTGGCGACGAGGCACCCCCCCACTTGTTGCTTCTCTGATGAACTCATCGACAGGTTCGCGCTTCTCGTCCTTTCCTCCCCGTTTTCACTTTCGTCCGTTCCCATTCTTCCTTGCCTCATGTCTGATCCTGAGTATGTGGAGTGGAGGTCATTCTGCGCCACGCCAAGCTGGAGTTTATTCTCTCTTGTTCTTTTGACTCAAAAGGCATCTTGGTCTGACCTGATTCCCATGCCGTCCTGTGCCCGTATTGCGCACAGGATGTCAGACCCCGAGTACGTGGAGGTCATTCTGCGCCATGCCAAGCTGGAGAACTACCAGGTGAGCTCCTCCTGGCCACGCGAGTGTGTTTGTGTGTGTGTGGGTGGGCGGGTGGATGTGTGCGTGTGCGCGCGTGTGGGTGCTTCTTTGTGTGTAGGCAGGGGGGTGGTATGTGCACACTTGCGCATCCGTGTGTGCAAGTGGGGGTAGAACCACCAGCAGTGACGCACGACAACTATGATTCCCCGCACTCCACCCCTCTCCCGCACATCGGCAAGTCCAAGGCATTCCTACGGGCGGGCCAGGTGGCGCTGATGGATGGAGACGTGCTGTGTTGCTGGCCCTGGTGGAACGCCCGTGGCACGCTGCTGTTGTGCATGCACACACTCACGCAATAGCATTCACTCCTCCCGTGGATTCCCCCCCATCCATTTTCTGCGCCCTCTCACCCTCCCACAGATCGGCAAGTCAAAGATATTCCTGCGGGCCGGGTCAGATGGCACTGATGGAGACGTGCCGACTAGAGATCATAAACGCCGCTGCCGCTGCTGCTGCTGCTGCTGCTGCTGCTGCTGCTGCTGCTGCTGCTGCTGCTGCTGCTGCTGCTGCTGCTGCTGCTGTGCAGCGTGCACACTCACCAACGCTCCCACGTGCATTCTCCCTCCCCCATTCCCACAGATCGGCAAGTCGAAGATATTCCTGCGGGCGGGGCAGATGGCTCTAATGGAGACGTGCCGTCTCGAGATAATGAACGCTGCTGCTGCCCGCATTCAGCGTGCCACGCGCCGCTTCCTCTTCCACCTGCACCGCGCCCGCGCCGCCCTCTGCATCCAGAAGCTCTGGCGCGGTGAGTGGGGTTATTTGTTGTGCCGCTGTTTTGTTGTGGTGAGTGAGTGGGGCTCTCTGTTGCTCCTCTCGGTGATTCTGCGCTGCCCTCTGCATCCAGAAGCTCTGGCGCGGTGAGTGGGGTTTATTGTATGGCTAGGAGTGGGGCTCTCTCTTGTTGCATCCAGTGCTCTCGTCATGTGCGCTCTGCTCGTTGCTGATCCGACTCATGCCTTCCACACCGCCCTCTGCACCTACACTGCCTTCCCACCCCCGCCCCTCCCTTCCCTCTCCATTCCTCCTGTCCCTTCCCTCGTGCACCACCTGCAGCGGCGCCTGGCAGCGACATGCATTCAGCGCATGGAGAGAGGACGGCAGCAGCGCATGCGCTTCCTCACACAATCCCTCCCCTCCCTTCCCTTCCGTTCCCTTCCCTTACTTGTCTTCTGTTCCCTACCGCTGCCAACCTACACGGCACGGGTGTTAGTGCACCACCTGCGGCAGCGCCTGGCAGCAACGTGCATCCAGAGAATGGAGCGGGGCCGGCAGCAGCACATGCGCTTCCTCACAACATCCCTCCTATCCCGTCCTTTCCTTCACCCCCCCTTCCAGCCTACAAGGCACGGCTGTTTGTGTACCACCTGCGGCAGCGCCTGGCAGCAACGTGCATCCAGAGAATGGAACGGGGCCGGCAGCAGCGCATGCGCTTCCTTGTGCTGCGACGGGCTGCAATCACCATCCAAGCCAAGTACCGCATGCATCTGTATCGCATGCGCTACCTGCACATGCGGGATAACCTTGCTGCCACCTGCATTCAGGTGTGTGTCAGTGGTGTATTTGTGAGGACAGGATCCCCCACCTGTCTTCTCCTCGCAAGCCCTGGAAGGCAATTTGATGTTCTCTCCCCCCCATCCACTGGCACCCCCCCATCCACTGGCACCCCCCCATCCACTGGCACCCCCCCATCCATTGGCACCCCCCCATTCACTGGCACCCCCCCATCCACTGGCACCCCCCCATCCACTGGCACCCCCCCATCCACTGGCACCCCCCCATCCACTGGCACCCCATCCGCCCCATGCATGCTCTCTTTCATCCATACCACCTCCCCATTGTCCCACGCATCCCTTCCTACCCCCCAGTCTTCTCTCCCACTCCCGCTCTGCCCCCCCTCTACCCGCCTCTCTCCAGAGCCACTGGTGCAGTTACGCGGCTCGCAAGCCCTCCCATTCTTTTATCCATGCGCATCCTTTCCCCCGGCCTCACCCTCTCCCCATCTCCTCTCCCCCGGCCTCACCCTCTCCCCATCTCCTCCCCCCCTTTTCCTGTTTCTCTCTCCCCAGTGTCACTGGCGGGGCTATGCGGCTCGCAAGCCCTGGAAGGCCGTTCGAGGTGCCTAACACACGCTGCCGTCCCCCCATTCACCTCTCTCTTCCTCTCCTTCTCTCTGCCTCGCTCTTTCTGCAGTGTCACTGGCGCGGCTATGCGGCTCGGAAGCCATGGAAGGCCCTGCGGCAGTACTTCTTTGCACGCCTGGCCAGGCTGCGATATAAGAACCTCAAGCTGGTGCGTGCCCGCCTGTACTTGATTGGGTTGATTCACTTGAAATACGTGCACCCCCCCACCCCTTTCCACTGTCTCCGCAAACACCTCTCTCTCTCTGCTCTACACTCCCGGCCCAACCCCTCCACACTCATCCGTCTAGAACCCCTCCCCCGCCTCCCAATTCGGCTTCTGCGACACCCACCCTTCGTTCCAGCCCCACATCCCTCTCATTTGATGCCATTCACCCATCTCAGCTTGATCACCCCTCCAGCACTCCCGCTGCCCCTTCCTCGCTAGTCTCCTTTCAGTTTCTGCCAGCTGTTTCTCCTTCCAGCTCCCAGCCTTGTGGTTATTTATCGCGCTTGCTTGCTCCTCTGCTTTCCTCCCATGCCTGCCTTCTATTCCACCAATCACAGGAGGCGACTCGCATTGCTGAGCTGGCGCCGCCACGCAAGAAGACGGAGGTAGCAATGGATACGATTCGCATGATGGTGCTGCGCGTGCAACGAGTGAGTGTGACTGTACGGGGGGTTGGTGGATGGGAAAGTGTGATTGGAGGCGGAGGGCAGGGTAGGGGAATTGCGGCGCGCGGCAGGGAGGGAGATAGTGGGATGTGATGCGAGTCCGTATGTGCCTGCCTGCGTGTCCATTCCCCTATCTCTGCATGCCCCTGAAACCTCTTCTCTCTATCTCTGAAACGATTTCTGACTCGACAAAATTTGTTCCTGCATGTCTGTTCCCCCGTCTCTGCATGCCCCTGAAACCTCTTCCTCTTATCTCTAAACCCTTTTAACCCCCCCCAAACCCGCGACCACCCCGCCCCCACCCCCTCGTTCCCCCTCCTCCCCCGCAACAGGACAAGGCGGAGAAGGGGCGGCAGGCGTTGGAACGCCAGCTGGCAGAGGCATGAGAGGAGGTGGAGCGGCGGGGCAGGGAGATTGCCCGGCTGCAGGAGATGCTGGATGCGGAACAGGCGGGGGCAGAGGCTGCAGAGGGTGAGGCGATCCAATTCTTCTCCGTGCCACTTATCCCTCTCCCGTACCATTCCCCCTCTCCACTCACTCTCCCCACTCTTCTACCCCAGGACAAGGCAGAAAAGGGGCGGCATGCGTTGGAACGCCAGCTGGTAGAAGCACGAGAGGAGGTGGAGCTGCGGGGTAGGGAGATTGCGGCACGCGGCAGGGAGATAGCTCGGCTGCAGGAGATGCTGGATGCGGAACAGGCGAGGGCAGAGCCTGCAGAGGGTGAGGCGATCCAATTCTCCTCCGTGCCACTCATCCCTCTCCATATCACCCATTCCCCCACTTCCCACACTTCCCTACCCCAGGACAAGGCAGAAAAAGGACGACAGGCGCTGGAGTGCCAGCTGGCGGAGGCAAGAGAGGAGGTGGAGCGGCGGGGTAGGGAGATTGCGGCACGCGGCAGGGAGATAGCTCGGCTGCAGGAGATGCTGGATGCGGAACAGGCGAGGGCAGAGGCTGCAGAGGCGGAGGTGAGGACGATGGTGGCGGAGCGGGAGGAGCAGCGGGAGGAGCAGCAGCAGCACTTGGTGAAGATGAAGGAGCTCTCTGTGCTGCCTGACGTGCTCAGCCATACGCCCACTGCTGCTTCTGCTGCTGCTGCGGGTGGGGTTGGTGATGGTGCTGCTGCTAGGGATGAGGCTAGGGTATTGGCAAATGCGGCAGCTGCAGCAGTGGCGGCTGTTGACGGGGCGGTGGGAGCGACTGAAGCAGGGTCTAGGGACGAGGCTGGAGGAGCTGAAGCCGCTGCAGCAGCAGCAGCAGCAGAAGCAGTGCCAGCTGCAGTGTCAGCACCCGCTCCCACAGCAGCAGCAGCAGCAGCAGCGGCAGGAAGAGTGGCAGAGGCTGCAGGGATGCACGTGGGTGCACCCCCTCCTCTGCACACAGGGCCTGTACTGTGTGCTCGGTGTGCGGGGAGAGTGGAGGCATCAGGAGGCATTCCCGTGTCCCCTTCGTCCCTCCGCTCCCTTGCCTCTCCCTCCTCCCGCCGGCCTCCCCCGTTTGCTGTATCTCCCAGGAGAACCCCTACTGCCGCTGCTAGAGATGAGGCTAGGGTGTTTACCAGTGGCGCCGCCGCCGCCGCCGCCACTGCTGCTGCTGCTGCTGCTGCTGCTGCTGCTGCTGCCAGTGCTGCGTCTGTTGACCCGTATGCTGACCATGCAAGGAGGCCTGTGCAAGGCGAGGGCGAGGGAGAGGAGGGAGAGGAGGAGGGAGTGGAGGAGGTGAAAGAGGTGGCAATGGAGGGGGATAGGGAGAAGGAGTGTGTTGTCTTGGGGGTGGAGGGCGGCGCAGACAGGACGGCGCTTGCCAACCATTTCCTGCCGCCCATTTTGGAAAGATCTGCACAGAGCGAGGCGGATCTAGTGGAGGCAGAAGAGAGGGCCGGGAACAGAGGCAAGGACGGCAGTGGGGACGAGGAGCAGGAGGAGCAAGGTCAGAGGAAGCAGCAGCAAGCTCAGGAGAAGGGGCAAGAGCAGGAGCAGGTGCAGGGAGGAAAGGGCGAGGGGCGAGGGGAAGGGGCAGCAGCAGCAGCGGGAGGCGAGGAGCACAAGGGAGGGAAGCCGCGGCCTGTGTCCCCTCTATCAGCCGGTGCCAGTGCCATCCGCGATAGACTCACTCTGGACGTGGGCGCTGGCAGCACCACCAGTGGCGCTGCTGCTGCTGCTGCCGCTGCAGGAGCAGCAGCAGGAACAGCAGCAGGGACAGCAGCAGGAACAGCATCCGCGGGAGCAGCAGCAAGTGTGGGCCCAGGGGGGGGCGCTCCTCTGCCTCCCAGCGACAGCAGCAGGCGCCCCATGCGCCCCCGTGCCGCCTCCTCTTCAGGCTCAGGCTGGCAGGTCCCCTCAGAGGACGGTGACTTAGACCACGACGGGGGCTCAGCAGCGGAGCAGGACAGAGGGCCCTTGAGTGCTGACCGGGGCCCTCTTAGTTCTGAGAGACCCAGGAGAATGTCGGCTGGAGCAGGAGGGGGTGGAGGGGGAGGGGGGGCGGGAGGGAAGGAGTTTGGACGGTATGGGAGTAGCTCGTTCCGGGGCTCGCCGGCCCGGGAGTTTGAGGGGGGGGCGCGGGTGGGGCGAGGGGAGGAGGGGTCGTGGAGTGGGAGGAAGCTGGGCGGAGTGGGGTCGAGATCTGCCCGGATCGGGGCTAGTGAGGCGTCACCGAGGGGAGGGGTTGGGATGGGGATGGGGACTCCGCCCACGCCTGGGACGAGTGGGGCGGGGACGCCGAGGGGGAAGAGTCTGACGTTTTCGGCGAGCAACTTTGATAAGATCCTTGCTAGCATGCAGCGCGAAGTGGAGATTGCACAGAAGGTGAGATTGCACAGAAGGTGAGATTCCTGCAAGAGTTTGGGTTGCCTCAGAATCAGATATCAAGATTGCTAGAATTTGTGAAAGAAGCTGCCATCTATCCCTCTCTTCTCCCCCTTCTCTCTTCCCCGCCAACACACACCCTTTCCACATCAGATGCGCGAGGAGAACAACTGGCTGCGGGCGGCCTACAAGGAGGCGGTGCACAAGGCAGAGGTGGCGAGGCAGGCAGGGCCGCATGTGTCTGTCACCAACGCGCTACAACTCACCCCCACCCCTCGTGTCCCCTCTCGTCAGATGCGCGAGGAGAACAACTGGCTGCGGGCAGCATACAAGGAGGCGGTGCACAAAGCAGAGGTGGCGGCAGCACTGGCGGCGCATGCGGGCCCATGTCATCCCTGTGTCCTTTACTCTGCTCCCCACCTCCCTCATCAGATGCGAGAGGAGAACAACTGGCTGCGAGCAGCCTACAAAGAGGCAGTGCACAAGGCAGAGGTGGCGGCAGCACTGGCGGGCGCAGAGAGGGCGCGGGCGGAGGAGGCGGAGAGGAATGTGGCAGCAAGGGAGGAGGAGATGCGGGAGGCCCTGGTGCGATGCCATGAGCTGCAGGAGAAGCTGCTCGGGTGAGTGCGGGTGGTGCGGTGATGGCAGGTCGTGGGATGAGTGCGGGTGGTGGGTGAGTGAGTGAGGTCGCTTCAGAACATGCATTCTCTAGCTGCAAGCTCCTTCGACATCCATGCGCTTTCCTAAATGCATCCACACCCCACACTATCCCCTTTATTCCTCCTTCCCTGATGCACACACACACCCACACACCTCCTCACTCCCCCCATTATCTATCCTCCTCACCCCCCGTGTCCACCACAGCAAAGCGCGGGAGGTGCGCACGCTGAGTCAGAGGCTGATCGCCTTCCAGGCCAGCATGGCCAACGCCAACCCCGCCATGCCCATCGACAAGCAGCAGGTGCGAGCTAAACTCCTCCCAGGTTGGGTTTGAGAATTCTCCTATATTTGTAGGCTGGTTTCGAGTATTCTCACAACCAGCCTTCCAGGCCAGCATGGCCAGTGCCAATCCCGCCATGCCCGTTGACAAGCAGCGGGTGATATTTCACACACTTCGCACTCAGCAGGTAGATTACCTGCTGCTCGCACTCCATTTCCTCCCTCCCTTCTGCTCGCTCTCTTCCTTCTGCTCGCTCTCTTCCTTCTGCTCGCTCTCTTCCTTCTGCTCGCTCTCTTCCTTCTGCTCGCTCTCTTCCTTCTGCTCGCTCTCTTCCTTCTGCTCGCTCTCTTCCTTCTGCTCGCTCTCTTCCTTCTGCTCGCTCTCTTCCTTCTGCTCGCTCTCTTCCTTCTGCTCGCTCTCTTCCTTCTGCTCGCTCTCTTCCTTCTGCTCGCTCTCTTCCTTCTGCTAGCTCTCTTCCTTCTGCTCGCTCTCTTCCTTCTGCTCGCTCTCTTCCTTCTGCTCGCTCTCTTCCTTCTGCTCGCTCTCTTCCTTCTGCTCGCTCTCTTCCTTCTGCTCGCTCTCTCCCTTCTGCTCGCTCTCTTCCTTCTGCTCGCTCTCTTCCTTCTGCTCGCTCTCTTCCTTCTGCTCGCTCTCTTCCTTCTGCTCGCTCTCTTCCTTCTGCTCGCTCTCTTCCTTCTGCTCGCTCTCTTCCTTCTGCTCGCTCTCTTCCTTCTGCTCGCTCTCTTCCTTCTGCTCGCTCTCTTCCTTCTGCTAGCTCTCTTCCTTCTGCTCGCTCTCTTCCTTCTGCTAGCTCTCTTCCTTCTGCTCGCTCTCTTCCTTCTGCTCGCTCTCTTCCTTCTGCTCGCTCTCTTCCTTCTGCTCGCTCTCTTCCTTCTGCTCGCTCTCTTCCTTCTGCTCGCTCTCTTCCTTCTGCTCGCTCTCTTCCTTCTGCTCGCTCTCTTCCTTCTGCTCGCTCTCTTCCTTCTGCTCGCTCTCTTCCTTCTGCTCGCTCTCTTCCTTCTGCTCGCTCTCTTCCTTCTGCTCGCTCTCTTCCTTCTGCTCGCTCTCTTCCTTCTGCTCGCTCTCTTCCTTCTGCTCGCTCTCTTCCTTCTGCTCGCTCTCTTCCTTCTGCTCGCTCTCTTCCTTCTGCTCGCTCTCTTCCTTCTGCTCGCTCTCTTCCTTCTGCTAGCTCTCTTCCTTCTGCTCGCTCTCTTCCTTCTGCTAGCTCTCTTCCTTCTGCTCGCTCTCTTCCTTCTGCTAGCTCTCTTCCTTCTGCTCGCTCTCTTCCTTCTGCTCGCTCTCTTCCTTCTGCTCGCTCTCTTCCTTCTGCTCGCTCTCTCCCTTCTGCTCGCTCTCTTCCTTCTGCTCGCTCTCTCCTTCTGCTCGCTCTCTTCCTTCTGCTCGCTCTCTTCCTTCTGCTCGCTCTCTTCCTTCTGCTCGCTCTCTTCCTTCTGCTCGCTCTCTTCCTTCTGCTCGCTCTCTTCCTTCTGCTCGCTCTCTTCCTTCTGCTCGCTCTCTTCCTTCTGCTCGCTCTCTTCCTTCATGCTCGCTCTCTTCCTTCTGCTGCGCTCTCTTCCTTCTGCTCGCTCTCTTCCTTCTGCTCGCTCTCTTCCTTCTGCTCGCTCTCTTCCTTCTGCTCGCTCTCTTCCTTCTGCTCGCTCTCTTCCTTCTGCTCGCTCTCTTCCTTCTGCTCGCTCTCTTCCTTCTGCTCGCTCTCTTCCTTCTGCTCGCTCTCTTCCTTCTGCTCGCTCTCTTCCTTCTGCTCGCTCTCTTCCTTCTGCTCGCTCTCTTCCTTCTGCTCGCTCTCTTCCTTCTGCTCGCTCTCTTCCTTCTGCTCGCTCTCTTCCTTCTGCTCGCTCTCTTCCTTCTGCTCGCTCTCTTCCTTCTGCTCGCTCTCTTCCTTCTGCTCGCTCTCTTCCTTCTGCTCGCTCTCTTCCTTCTGCTCGCTCTCTTCCTTCTGCTCGCTCTCTTCCTTCTGCTCGCTCTCTTCCTTCTGCTCGCTCTCTTCCTTCTGCTCGCTCTCTTCCTTCTGCTCGCTCTCTTCCTTCTGCTCGCTCTCTTCCTTCTGCTCGCTCTCTTCCTTCTGCTCGCTCTCTTCCTTCTGCTCGCTCTCTTCCTTCTGCTCGCTCTCTTCCTTCTGCTCGCTCTCTTCCTTCTGCTCGCTCTCTTCCTTCTGCTCGCTCTCTTCCTTCTGCTCGCTCTCTTCCTTCTGCTCGCTCTCTTCCTTCTGCTCGCTCTCTTCCTTCTGCTCGCTCTCTTCCTTCTGCTCGCTCTCTTCCTTCTGCTCGCTCTCTTCCTTCTGCTCGCTCTCTTCCTTCTGCTCGCTCTCTTCCTTCTGCTCGCTCTCTTCCTTCTGCTCGCTCTCTTCCTTCTGCTCGCTCTCTTCCTTCTGCTCGCTCTCTTCCTTCTGCTCGCTCTCTTCCTTCTGCTCGCTCTCTTCCTTCTGCTCGCTCTCTTCCTTCTGCTCGCTCTCTTCCTTCTGCTCGCTCTCTTCCTTCTGCTCGCTCTCTTCCTTCTGCTCGCTCTCTTCCTTCTGCTCGCTCTCTTCCTTCTGCTCGCTCTCTTCCTTCTGCTCGCTCTCTTCCTTCTGCTCGCTCTCTTCTTCTGCTCGCTCTCTTCCTTCTGCTCGCTCTCTTCCTTCTGCTCGCTCTCTTCCTTCTGCTCGCTCTCTTCCTTCTGCTCGCTCTCTTCCTTCTGCTCGCTCTCTTCCTTCTGCTCGCTCTCTTCCTTCTGCTCGCTCTCTTCCTTCTGCTCGCTCTCTTCCTTCTGCTCGCTCTCTTCCTTCTGCTCGCTCTCTTCCTTCTGCTCGCTCTCTTCCTTCTGCTCGCTCTCTTCCTTCTGCTCGCTCTCTTCCTTCTGCTCGCTCTCTTCCTTCTGCTCGCTCTCTTCCTTCTGCTCGCTCTCTTCCTTCTGCTCGCTCTCTTCCTTCTGCTCGCTCTCTTCCTTCTGCTCGCTCTCGTCCTTCTGCTCGCTCTCTTCCTTCTGCTCGCTCTCTTCCTTCTGCTCGCTCTCTTCCTTCTGCTCGCTCTCTTCCTTCTGCTCGCTCTCTTCCTTCTGCTCGCTCTCTTCCTTCTGCTCGCTCTCTTCCTTCTGCTCGCTCTCTTCCTTCTGCTCGCTCTCTTCCTTCTGCTCGCTCTCTTCCTTCTGCTCGCTCTCTTCCTTCTGCTCGCTCTCTTCCTTCTGCTCGCTCTCTTCCTTCTGCTCGCTCTCTTACCTTCTGCTCGCTCTCTTCCTTCTGCTCGCTCTCTTCCTTCTGCTCGCTCTCTTCCTTCTGCTCGCTCTCTTCCTTCTGCTCGCTCTCTTCCTTCTGCTCGCTCTCTTCCTTCTGCTCGCTCTCTTCCTTCTGCTCGCTCTCTTCCTTCTGCTCGCTCTCTTCCTTCTGCTCGCTCTCTTCCTTCTGCTCGCTCTCTTCCTTCTGCTCGCTCTCTTCCTTCTGCTCGCTCTCTTCCTTCTGCTCGCTCTCTTCCTTCTGCTCGCTCTCTTCCTTCTGCTCGCTCTCTTCCTTCTGCTCGCTCTCTTCCTTCTGCTCGCTCTCTTCCTTCTGCTCGCTCTCTTCCTTCTGCTCGCTCTTCTTCTTCTGCTCGCTCTCTTCCTTCTGCTCGCTCTCTTCCTTCTGCTCGCTCTCTTCCTTCTGCTCGCTCTCTTCCTTCTGCTCGCTCTCTTCCTTCTGCTCGCTCTCTTCCTTCTGCTCGCTCTCTTCCTTCTGCTCGCTCTCTTCCTTCTGCTCGCTCTCTTCCTTCTGCTCGCTCTCTTCCTTCTGCTCGCTCTCTTCCTTCTGCTCGCTCTCTTCCTTCTGCTCGCTCTCTTCCTTCTGCTCGCTCTCTTCCTTCTGCTCGCTCTCTTCCTTCTGCTCGCTCTCTTCCTTCTGCTCGCTCTCTTCCTTCTGCTCGCTCTCTTCCTCTGCTCGCTCTTCCTTCTGCTCGCTCTCTTCCTTCTGCTCGCTCTCTTCCTTCTGCTCGCTCTCTTCCTTCTGCTCGCTCTCTTCCTTCTGCTCGCTCTCTTCCTTCTGCTCGCTCTCTTCCTTCTGCTCGCTCTCTTCCTTCTGCTCGCTCTCTTCCTTCTGCTCGCTCTCTTCCTTCTGCTCGCTCTCTTCCTTCTGCTCGCTCTCTTCCTTCTGCTCGCTCTCTTCCTTCTGCTCGCTCTCTTCCTTCTGCTCGCTCTCTTCCTTCTGCTCGCTCTCTCCTTCTGCTCGCTCTCTTCCTTCTGCTCGCTCTCTTCCTTCTGCTCGCTCTCTTCCTTCTGCTCGCTCTCTTGCTCCTCTCTTCTGCTCGCTCTCTTCCTTCTGCTCGCTCTCTTCCTTCTGCTCGCTCTCTTCCTTCTGCTCGCTCTCTTCCTTCTGCTCGCTCTCTTCCTTCTGCTCGCTCTCTTCCTTCTGCTCGCTCTCTTCCTTCTGCTCGCTCTCTTCCTTCTGCTCGCTCTCTTCCTTCTGCTCGCTCTCTTCCTTCTGCTCGCTCTCTTCCTTCTGCTCGCTCTCTTCCTTCTGCTCGCTCTCTTCCTTCTGCTCGCTCTCTTCCTTCTGCTCGCTCTCTTCCTTCTGCTCGCTCTCTTCCTTCTGCTCGCTCTCTTCCTTCTGCTCGCTCTCTTCCTTCTGCTCGCTCTCTTCCTTCTGCTCGCTCTCTTCCTTCTGCTCGCTCTCTTCCTTCTGCTCGCTCTCTTCCTTCTGCTCGCTCTCTTCCTTCTGCTCGCTCTCTTCCTTCTGCTCGCTCTTCTGCTCGCTCTCTTCCTTCTGCTCGCTCTCTTCCTTCTGCTCGCTCTCTTCCTTCTGCTCGCTCTCTTCCTTCTGCTCGCTCTCTTCCTTCTGCTCGCTCTCTTCCTTCTGCTCGCTCTCTTCCTTCTGCTCGCTCTCTTCCTTCTGCTCGCTCTCTTCCTTCTGCTCGCTCTCTTCCTTCTGCTCGCTCTCTTCCTTCTGCTCGCTCTCTTCCTTCTGCTCGCTCTCTTCCTTCTGCTCGCTCTCTTCCTTCTGCTCGCTCTCTTCCTTCTGCTCGCTCTCTTCCTTCTGCTCGCTCTCTTCCTTCTGCTCGCTCTCTTCCTTCTGCTCGCTCTCTTCCTTCTGCTCGCTCTCTTCCTTCTGCTCGCTCTCTTCCTTCTGCTCGCTCTCTTCCTTCTGCTCGCTCTCTTCCTTCTGCTCGCTCTCTTCCTTCTGCTCGCTCTCTTCCTTCTGCTCGCTCTCTTCCTTCTGCTCGCTCTCTTCCTTCTGCTCGCTCTCTTCCTTCTGCTCGCTCTCTTCCTTCTGCTCGCTCTCTTCCTTCTGCTCGCTCTCTTCTCTGCTCGCTCTCTTCCTTCTGCTCGCTCTCTTCCTTCTGCTCGCTCTCTTCCTTCTGCTCGCTCTCTTCCTTCTGCTCGCTCTCTTCCTTCTGCTCGCTCTCTTCCTTCTGCTCGCTCTCTTCCTTCTGCTCGCTCTCTTCCTTCTGCTCGCTCTCTTCCTTCTGCTCGCTCTCTTCCTTCTGCTCGCTCTCTTCCTTCTGCTCGCTCTCTTCCTTCTGCTCGCTCTCTTCCTTCTGCTCGCTCTCTTCCTTCTGCTCGCTCTCTTCCTTCTGCTCGCTCTCTTCCTTCTGCTCGCTCTCTTCCTTCTGCTCGCTCTCTTCCTTCTGCTCGCTCTCTTCCTTCTGCTCGCTCTCTTCCTTCTGCTCGCTCTCTTCCTTCTGCTCGCTCTCTTCCTTCTGCTCGCTCTCTTCCTTCTGCTCGCTCTCTTCCTTCTGCTCGCTCTCTTCCTTCTGCTCGCTCTCTTCCTTCTGCTCGCTCTCTTCCTTCTGCTCGCTCTCTTCCTCTGCTCGCTCTCTTCCTTCTGCTCGCTCTCTTCCTTCTGCTCGCTCTCTTCCTTCTGCTCGCTCTCTTCCTTCTGCTCGCTCTCTTCCTTCTGCTCGCTCTCTTCCTTCTGCTCGCTCTCTTCCTTCTGCTCGCTCTCTTCCTTCTGCTCGCTCTCTTCCTTCTGCTCGCTCTCTTCCTTCTGCTCGCTCTCTTCCTTCTGCTCGCTCTCTTCCTTCTGCTCGCTCTCTTCCTTCTGCTCGCTCTCTTCCTTCTGCTCGCTCTCTTCCTTCTGCTCGCTCTCTTCCTTCTGCTCGCTCTCTTCCTTCTGCTCGCTCTCTTCCTTCTGCTCGCTCTCTTCCTTCTGCTCGCTCTCTTCCTTCTGCTCGCTCTCTTCCTTCTGCTCGCTCTCTTCCTTCTGCTCGCTCTCTTCCTTCTGCTCGCTCTCTTCCTTCTGCTCGCTCTCTTCCTTCTGCTCGCTCTCTTCCTTCTGCTCGCTCTCTTCCTTCTGCTCGCTCTCTTCCTTCTGCTGCTCGCTCTCTTCCTTCTGCTCGCTCTCTTCCTTCTGCTCGCTCTCTTCCTTCTGCTCGCTCTCTTCCTTCTGCTCGCTCTCTTCCTTCTGCTCGCTCTCTTCCTTCTGCTCGCTCTCTTCCTTCTGCTCGCTCTCTTCCTTCTGCTCGCTCTCTTCCTTCTGCTCGCTCTCTTCCTTCTGCTCGCTCTCTTCCTTCTGCTCGCTCTCTTCCTTCTGCTCGCTCTCTTCCTTCTGCTCGCTCTCTTCCTTCTGCTCGCTCTCTTCCTTCTGCTCGCTCTCTTCCTTCTGCTCGCTCTCTTCCTTCTGCTCGCTCTCTTCCTTCTGCTCGCTCTCTTCCTTCTGCTCGCTCTCTTCCTTCTGCTCGCTCTCTTCCTTCTGCTCGCTCTCTTCCTTCTGCTCGCTCTCTTCCTTCTGCTCGCTCTCTTCCTTCTGCTCGCTCTCTTCCTTCTGCTCGCTCTCTTCCTTCTGCTCGCTCTCTTCCTTCTGCTCGCTCTCTTCCTTCTGCTCGCTCTCTTCCTTCTGCTCGCTCTCTTCCTTCTGCTCGCTCTCTTCCTTCTGCTCGCTCTCCCCTTCCTCCCTCAACCCCGCTCCTCCCCCATATCTGAGCCCACCCCACTTCCCCCCCTCCCCTCTTATGCTCCATGTCCTACACTCTTCCCCCTCTTTCATATCTCTCCCATCTTTCATAACTCTTCCTTGCCGCTCCTACAATCCATCCCTGCATCCGCACTCCTGCATCTCTCTCCCCTCCCTCCCCTGTTCCTCCATGCCGATTTGCCCTGTCTCCCTCATACTAGCTTGAACAACGTGGCACTCCCACGCTTTATCTTCCCCTCCTAGGCTTAACCTGTGGCGACCTGGCAGAACGACCAACACGTGTCCCCTCCCTCCCACCTCTCACTTCTCCTTTCCTTCCTCCTGTTCCCTCCCCTCCCTCCCTCCCCCCCCCCCCCCCTTCACCCTCCCCCCATCCTCCAGGAGGTGCTACTGAACGAGATCGCAGTCAGCCGCTTCCCCTTCGGTCCACAAGGCCAGCCAGTCGCAGCGTGTGTGGTGTTCCGGTCGCTGCTGCACTGGCGCACGTTCCAGGCGGAGAAGACCAACGCGTTTGACCGCATCATCGAGACCTTCCAGATGGTCTCGCGCTCCGATGACATGAGCACGCTCAGTTACTGGCTCAGCAACCACGTTGTACTTCTGTACCTCGTGCAGGTGGGTGCTGTGGGAGAAAGGGGGACGGGAGAAGGTGGTATGGTGGTGGGATAGAGCTCCGATGACATGAGCACCTTGAGCTATTGGCTCGTGGTGCTGCTGTACCTCGTGCAGGTGGGTGCTGGGGGGGATGGGAGGGAAGGTGGCACGCAGGGGAGGTGCTACTGTGTGGCGCAGGTAGGTGCAGGGGTGGGAGGGAACGGGGATGGGCGCACATGAGCACCTTGAGCTACTGGCTCAGCAACCACGTCGTGCTGCTGTACCTAGTGGAGGTGGGTGGTGGGTGGAGGGAAAGGTGGCACGCAGGGGAGACAGCAGTAGGTAGTACTAGTAGGTGGTTACTGTGGTGGGATATCAACCAGCTGTCACATCTATGAAGATTCCGTCCGATGTTTCTGTTTGTTTGTTTGTTTGTTTTTTTTTTTTTTTTTTTTTTTTTTCCGTATCCTGCCCTCTTTCCACTCTTTCAATATTCTCTCCTCGCCCTCTCCCGCCCCATACTTACACTCCTCTTCCCCCCACCCCTCCCTCCAAGTGGTACAAAGCGGCGGTAGAGAGGGGAAAGAAATCGCCCCTTCTCTTGAAGATATATGTCTTCCAACCTAACCCCTCTCCCGCCTCTGACCCCTTTGCCCCCCTTCCAGGTGGTGTATAAGCCACCAGCAGAGCGGGTGGAGCCAGTATCCCACTCACATAGACCATCCATCCCAACCCCCCTTCTCTCCATCCCCAAATTCTCCCCCCTCTCTTCCCTTCCGCTCCCCCACCCCCCCTCTTCCTCCTCAGGTGGTGTACAAGGCACCAGCAGAGAAGCCCAAGTTGCTCCCCCTGTCCCTAAACCTGCACCTCCTGAACCCCTCCCTCCCCCTTCCCACCCACCACCACCCCCCCCCCCCCCAGGTGGTGTACAAGGCGCCAGCAGAGAAGCCCAAGTTGGAGCGCGTCACCACGTTTGGCTTCTTCGGTGCTCGCCCCCCCACTCCGGTGAGATTCACTGCGGTGCTGTGGGATGGGGTGGGGTGGGGTGAGATACGGTGCCGTGGGTTAATGTATGGTGCTGTCAAGTTTAAAGAGTGGTTTAAGTGGTTGTAATGTGATGCAGGTAATGCTCTTCCATTCTCTCCCTACCCGGCCCCGTTTTGAGACCCCTTCTGTTTGCATGACGAATTTGTCCCTTCCCTTCATTCCTCTACTCCAAACCTACCCAGCCGCGGCCCAGTGCAACGATGCAGCAGGTGGACCTGATGCTGTTCAAGCAGCACAAGAAAGTTCCACGTGCGCATTCCACCTAACCACTTTCCCTTCCCATCATTCCTCCCTCTCTCTTTCTACCCCCCCCCCCCCCCCTCCCCTCCCAAACCCACCTCAGCCGCGGCCCAGTGCAACGATGCAGCAGGTGGATCTGATGCTGTTCAAGCAGCAGCTGGCGACCGGCATCGAGCGGCTGTATGTGACCATCCGCGACAGCGCCAAGACGGAGCTCGCCGTCCACTTCAACCCGCAGGTGCAGTGCGGTGGGGAGTGGCCGTGGGGGTTGGGAGTGGTCTTGAGGGTTGGGTGATGGTTCTGTGGGTGGTGGCGTGGTCTTGGGGGGTGGGGAGTGGCCATTGGGGTTGGGGAATGGTCATGGGGGTTGGAGAGTGGTATTTGGGGTTAAGGAGTGGTCTTGGGGGTTGGGGGATGGTTGAGTAGTGGGTGGGGTGGTCACGCTCTAACACCTCTCCCCTCTCTTACCCCTCCCCTCTTTGTTCTCTCCCGTAGAATCCCCTCTCTCCCCTCTCCCCCCGTCTCTGCTGCAACCCATCCCATCTGTTCCTTTCTCCCAACTGTCTTCCCTTCTCTTGTGCAACCCCTATCTGCCTCTCACAACCCCAGGCACGAGGAGCAGAGGTGGAAGCAGGAGAGGGAGGAGAACCGGGGGAAAACGGGGGAGGAGGGCCGGGGATCACCCCGACAGGGGCGAGGGGGAGGGGGCGGGGAGGGCGGGCGCTGCAGCGCAACGCAGCGACAGCGATGCGGAAACACATCATATCGTCGTGGACCAACGTGGTCATCACTCTGCGCCACATCATCGGGAACCTCGTGGCCAATCACGTGCCGGCAGCCCTGCTGGACGCGCTGATTCGCCAGCTGCTGTTCTTCGTCAACATGAAGATATTCAACAGGTGGGTGGGTGGGTGGGTGGGTAAGTGGGTGGGTGGGTGGGTGGGTGGGTAAGTGGGTGGGTGGGTGGGTGGGCGGGTGGGTGGGCGAGTTGATGGAGGAGGGGCTTGAAACTGGGAGTTGCCTCATTCTATTCCTCTCTTTCTTCCCATCCACCCCCACCCCCTTCCCCCCTTCCCTCCTATTAGCCTCATGGTGCGAGCGCAGTGGTGCCCCTGCACGTACAGCAACGGCGAGATGATGGAGGAGGGGCTGAGCCGTCTGGAGCAGTGGGTGCATGACGTGGAGGTGCAACTGAGGGAGGTGCTGGGGGGGGAGAGAGAGCCCCTAAGGAAGGAGCTGCGGCACCTGCAGCAGACCATTCTCTTCCTGGTGAGTGGCAAGTGGATGGTTGCGTGACAAACCAATATGCCTGTTCGTCCTGGTAAGCAGCACAGCAGCAGTGGGTGCACGATGTGGAGGTGCAACAGAGGGAGGTGCTGGAGGGGAGAGAGAACCCCTAAGGAAGGAGCTACGGCACCTGCAGCAGACGATTCTGTTCCTGGTGAGCACCTTCCTGTTCTGTTTCTTTTGGGTGTCAAATGTCTGGTGCTGTGGCAAGCCAAAGTGTCTGATCGTCCTGGTAAGCAGCGCAGCAGCAGTGGGTGCATAACGTGGAGGTGCAGTTGAGAGAGGTGCTGGGAGGGGAATGAGAACCCCAGAAGGAGCTGAGACACCTGCAGCAAACCATTCTGTTTTTTGTAAGTGGCAAGGACTTTTCTATTTGAGAAGTCACACCATAGCAGCAGTGCGCCTGGAGCAGTGAGTGCATGACGTGGAGGTGCAGGTGGGGGGGTTGTTAAGGGGGGGAAGAGAACCCTTAAAGAAGGAGCTGCGGAATCTGCAGCTGACGATTCTGTTCCTTGTAAGTATCAAGGCAAGGCGAACTCTGGAGGAATTGCGCATGCTGTGTCCAGATCTGAGCATGAACCAGCTGGTGCACATGTGCATCTGGTACGAGGATGGCTGACAAGTAGTGATTCTTCAACTCAAACGTTTCCCCCTGTCCCTCTCTTACCCACCCACCAGACCCTGGACCACAAGCCACGTAGGACACTGGAGGAATTGCGCATGCTGTGTCCCGATTTGAGCATGAACCAGCTGGTGCACATGTGCATTTGGTACGAGGATGGCTGACAAGTAGTGATTCTTCAACGTGACTCTTCTCCTTTGTCCATTCCCCAACCACCAGACCCTGGACCACAAACCACGGCGTACATTGGAGGAACTACGCATGCTGTGCCCTGATCTGAGCATGAACCAGCTGGTGCACATGTGCATCTGGTACGAGGACGACAAGTATGGCACCAAGGGCGTGGACCCCAGTGTGATCGAGCAGATGTGGAGCGAGATGGTGGACGACAGCCCCATGCTGCTGCGAGATGGTGAAGGGTGAGTACAAGGGCAGGAAGTGGTGAGTAGGGGGTTGATGATGGGATGATAAGCATGCAAGGGTCTGTGTGATATTTGTATTTTCCCTCCTCTTCTTGACCTTGTTTCTCTCTGCATTTTCCCCTTCCCCTCCTACCCTCCCTGTCATCACAGCATCCCCTTCACAACGGACGAGATTGTGCACAGCCTACCCGAGATAAACCTGGACGAGGTGGAACCTCCCCCGGAGCTCCAAGAAGACCCCACCTTCCACTTCCTCCTCCCCCTCACCTCCATCCCCTCCGTCCCCTCCACCCCCACCGCTGCTTCCCACACTCCCCGCAACGCCTCTCCGCGCCTCCCTCCCCCTTCCGTGCCTTCATCCATCCCCCGATCGGCCTCGCTCTCTCACGCCCATGCTCGGCCCGGCACCGCTCCCCACCCTATGGGTGGTACCCCTAGGGGGACTGGGGTGTCGTCGGTTACGAGTACGCCTCGTGTGCCGTCGAGCCCTTGGGATTACTTCCGGGGGCGAGGGACGTGGAAGAACGAAGATGCGTGATGATGGGTGGGGCGTGAGGGAGAGGAGTGAGGAGAGTGAGGCAGGAGGAGAGGCAGGAGGGAAAGGTATGAAGGAGCAAGGTGGGAGAGGCAATAGGGATGGCCATGTCTTTTAGAACATGTCATGGGGATTTCGAGAGATTTCGCAAGATTGATTCATGAAAGACACATGAGCCCTCCCTACGCAAGGACGCGAGGCGTTCCTTGCAAGCGTTGCATGTGCTGGTGGTGGTGTCATGAACAATTTCTGAGTGCATTGCATGTACTGTAGATACGGTTGTTCCATACCAACTCTAGTTTCCTAGCTGGCTATATTCTGTACAGCATGATTCTTTATGCTTGCTGTGCGGCTGTGCATGTGTGAGGATGCAATGTAGGCCTAGATTAGTCTAACTTGCAGGCATCTGTTATCTGTTGACTTAAATATTTGGAATGTATGATAGTGTGTAAAATATAGTAGTGTTTGCCACTGGTCTTAAAGTGAAACTTGAGTGGTCAGGGCGTGTTCTAAGGGTGGTACCAATCTATCACGTGCACACCAGTGCGAGCGCATGCACGGGTTAACTCACGTTTCCGTCAGGAAGTCTCCAGACTTTTTGCCTGCGTCACACTCGTGCGCACCAAGGCGAGCTGCGACACGTCCTGAGAATAGACCACGCCCTTAACTTTCGGCCCACCTGATTTAGGACACTCCACAAACCCCTGCATCCCCAACAGAAGCACTTCCCACGAACTTGCTTTCTGAAATCAGTCGTTCGTAGCGGCTCAGAGCTTGCTTGGAGGTTTTCCTTTGCGTAGTTTTATTTCTTACGGTCAGTAAACGCCATGGCGGACGTAGGGGGATATATGCCGCCGCAGGAGCCAGTAACTTACATGTGCGGGGGTACGAGCCTTTTTTTCCGCCCTGGCTTCAGTTCCTTTTGTTAACTCTTAAGCCGCTCTCCTCCTCGGAAGCGTCTTTCTTTAGTTGTTCTACAGTTGGTTTTCTCATTCCTGATGTTATTCAGTCGTGTTTATGCGTGCCAGAATGCGGTGCTGATAACACGTTGAAGCCCGGAGACGTGATTCAATGTCGAGAGTGCGGTTATAGAATTCTTTACAAGAAAAGAACGCGACGCAGTAAGTCTCCTCGCAGACGTGTGTCGAAAAGTATGCTCCTTTTCGAAAGGTCCAAGAGTGGTTGAGGAATCTGTGAACCCGGAAACCCGAAACCCACTTATGCCCAAACCCTTGTTCCAGATCTTGTTTTGTTGTTTGTTTTTACCTGGTAACCTCGTTTGCTTCTGATTGTGTTATTGATCTCACTATGCTGTTGTTTTTTCTCAATCGATTCTCAATCTCATCTTCTTCCTCTGAGTCCCTGTGACCATGCCACCATCTCACCATGCCACCATGCCACCATACCACCTTTCACTATACCACATTTCACCATACCACATTTCACCATACCACATTTCACCATACCACATTTCACCATACCACATCTCGCCCTGCTCTTCTCCGCCCTGCATGCCCCATCCTAACTTCTACTGCTAAACCATAGTCCACCATGTGTCCGTTTCCCACCCTCCCACTCTCTGTGCGATCAGTTGTGCAGTTTGAAGCTCGGTGAACTCAGAACCCCTCTTTAGCCCCGTCCAGCTTGCCTGCACTGTACTGTTCTGCTTGTCAGGCTTTGCTGCCTGCACCGGCAGAGATCCCATTATATTTGTAAATGTGAAATAAAAGAGCTGCTGCAATATGCTGCACATGAGGGCGTCCCGTCCTGTCCTGCTTGTGAAATATGGATGAAGTTGTGCATCCAAGATACACCCTAGCAAACTCGTGTTGTGGCGGCAGTAGTGCTTTCTTCCCTAAGGGCGTGTCCAGCGCGTACATTTTGGGAATATTAGTACCTTCACACGTTTCCCGGCTCAAAAAATCTCACTGTACCAAAAAACGAATTTAAGGTGAGTCGAGTCCGAAGGATTTGGCCTTCCAGCGCGCGGACACAACCCTCTGCACACAAATTTCTACAGTTCGTGGAAAACGAGGTAACTGGTTGCCTCGTCTATCATCGCACAGAAATTCACGCACAAGCGAAAATTCCACGCTTGAACGAAAATTACTGTAGCGGGCAGGACGCAATGCTGTACCCTTGTTCGCGCGCACACTGATTCCAGTAACGTGTGTTACACGATTCGTCGTACGCGCAGCGGGCGTGCCGTCTTGTGAACGGAAGCTGATCGTGTCCAACCTTTTTGTAAAATGCAGTGTTACAATAGGAAATGTGGTAACTGAATGGGTTTATGAACTGTAAATGTACGCGCTGGACACGCCCTAAAACTGAACGTTACGGTATGTGCGGTTGGTTGGTAGGTACTGTCTGACAGATACCGTAAGAATCACCGCATGGAATGTAGATTCATGAAATCTCCTTATAATGCATGAGCAAAAGGAAAAGGAAAAACATCAACGATACAGTGACAATCTTGCAACTATTGACCATCCGGTTCCCTTGATGGTGTGATCCAGCTCGCTGAGATAGATGCGCTTGTCGGAGGAGCAGGAGGCAATGATGGGCTGTGAGGGATGAAACATGGAACATTGCCTTGTTCACCTGCCCGCTGTGCTAAGTTCAGGGCAGGTGGCCTTTACTTGAGGGTGGGATCGAGCTCGCCCAGATAGATGCGTTTGTCGGAGGAGCAGGAGCAGATGATGGGCTGTGAGGGATGAAACACCGCCTCGTTCACCGACCCGTTGTGGCCGGGCAGCTGCAGCAGACACACGTGAGACAGACACGTGGGAGACGATGGGAAGGAGAGGAATGAGGATGGGAATAAGGATGGAAGATGCGAAAGGGGATGGAGATGGATATGGAGATGAGTGTTGAGACATCTCAAAGCAGGAGCCTGTGATGGGCTGTGAGGGATGGAACACCGCCTCGTTCACCGACCCGTTGTGACCGGGCAGGTGCCAGGCACGTGCGAGAGAGACGATGGGAGGTATCATGTGAGAATATGGGACGAGGATGGGAGGTGGGAATGAGGTGAGTGTGGAGATGAGTGTTGAGACATCTCGAAGCAGAAGCCAGTGATGGGCTGCGATGGATGAAACACTGCCTCGTTCACGGATCCATTGTGGCCCGGCAACTGTCAGACACGTGCGAGAGGTAGGATAGGAGTAAGATGGGGATGCGTTTTGGCCAGTAACATGCAATCAGCATGTCCTTTCCATCGTCAACCACTATACCTTATAGAGGATACCCCGCATGGTGGTGTCCCACACATACACCATGGTCGGCGTGTACCTTGTGCTAAAGCCCATCCCTCACAGCACAACCTTTACCCTGCATAATCAAGCCCTGTGTACCTTATAGAGGATGCACCGCATGGTGGTGTCCCACACATACACCATGCGGTCAACATGTGGTCAGCATGTAACTTCCACTGATAACCCCCATACCTTATAGAGAATCCGCCGCATCGTCGTGTCCCACACATACACCATGCGGTCGGCGCTGCCAGCTGTCACGCGGGAGCCGTCCGGCGACCAATCGCATTTGAGCAGATTCTTTTCCACGCTGTGCTGGTGCCCTGTGAATATCTTCACACACCGGTTCTGGGCAATGGGGAGGGTGGGGGGAAGGAAGAAGGGGGGTTAGTACGGTGCATGTGGAGTAGAGAGACCGAGAGGCAAGTGCTTCGAGGGGTCTCTGGCCAATCACATTAGAGCAGGTTCATTTTTATACTGTGTTGGTGCCCGGTGAAGATCTTCACACACCGGTTCTGGCCAATGGCGAGGGGGGGTTGGTATGGGCGATTGGATGAGAGGGGGGCAGGGAAAGAGGGGTATGGTATGGAGAATTCCGAGTAGGCATGAGCAACAGTCCGAGAGAAGAGCTCTGTAATAATGCCACCTATATCAATGAAAGGACCATTAGAGAGAAGAGCTCGGCTCGTCGGAGCCGACGATTTCACTTGACGAGCTGGACCGAGTCGAGCCGAGCCGAGTACCCAGTTGACTTTTGAGTCGACTAAAAAATCAAGCCGAGTACCCAGTTGACTTTTGAGTCGACTTAAAAATCGAGCCGAGTACCCAGTTGACTTTTGTGTTGACTTAAAAATCGAGCCGAGTACCCAGTTGACTTTTGAGTCGACTTAAAAATCGAGCCGAGTACCCAGTTGACTTTTGAGTCGACTTAAAAATCGAGCCGAGTACCCAGCTCGTCAAGCGAAATGCCAGATCCATCTGCCCGAATGTGTGGCTGGTCGACGAACCGAGCCTGGCTCCTCCTGGTTCGGAGCGCCTTCATGATTTGACGAGCCATGTGCTGGGTCAGCTGCCCTGCCGGCTCGGCTTGTCTAGCGGCCGGCTCGCCGTGGCTCGGGCAAGGAGGCTCGGCTCGAACCATTGCTCATGCTGAGTCCCATATGAGCAGGGTGACTATTTGAGGAGCCTCGTAAATAGACGTATGCGCAGGGTGCACTGCAGTCCATAATGCAGACTATTTGACGCAAAGAGCACACACGAACGTACCTGCAGGGCGGAAAGGCTGAGGTCCCAGATGCGCACAGTGCAGTCAATGGCGTTGGTGAGCAGATAAGTCACAAGAGCGACTGACCCTCATGCCCGTGATCGTATCCGTGTGCCCCAGCAGCCTCATCACCGGCTCTGCTCCCTTGCTGCTGCCTCCGCCACCCCCGCTTCCGCCCTCTGCTGTGTCCTCTCCCCCTCCGGCTCCTGCTGTTGCTGATGTTGCCCCCCCTGCTGCTGTGGATGTGCCACCTGATTTTCGTAGGTCCCAGACCTTTATTTGGTTGTCAATTCCGCCCGAGTACACTTTGTCCCCGTTATAAGAGAACGCCACGGCTGTGACCTGCGGGATGGATGGAGGAAGGGACTAAGTTTGGTTGGGATGTGTGCAGTCTCAGCCGATACACAACGCCATCTCGAATAAAAACAGGATGCCAAGCACGCACACACACATGCATGCATGCAAGCATGCCGGCACACACACATGCATGCATGCAAGCATGCCGGCACACACACATGCATGCATGCAAGCATGCCGGCACACACACATGCATGCATGCAAGCATGCCGGCACACACACATGCATGCATGCAAGCATGCCGGCACACATACCTGCGGTGCGTGCGTGCCATCAGTCCCCAACACGACTCTCACTCTCAGTCACTCCATGCAAAGCCTCATGCCTACAGCTCCGTCTGCCAAGACACTTGAGTGGCGCATACGGGCCGTGCCACACGTAGTACTTACGGAGTATTTACCCACCTAGTATTTACAGAGGACGCGCATACGGGCCGCATACGGGCCGCGCACGCGCATGTCCCACAGCTTGGCCGTGCCGTCGTCGCTGCCACTGACAATGCGCGGAGGC